AGAAAAGGGGGAAGGGGTAGGCAGAGCACAATAAGAGGCGATACCATTTTTGGACAAATGGAATCACTCAGATTGTAGAGAGTGCTACATGATTGAATGGTTTCGCAGAAGATTGCATATCTCTGTGAAAAACATTGCCATTTTTCTCAAAGACTTTGGATATTCTTTAAATGAACACAACTGTTTGTAACTTTGATCTGAAAATGCTGCTTCAAGTTTGCGATGACGTTAAGTCCGCATTGGACCGTTCTGTTCTGGTAGGGCTGGTGTTTAATGACTATATAAGAAACTTAACACCATCACAAGCCAATCAATTCAGTTTCTTTGAAAAGAAATTTTTTCCAGGTTCTTGCTAGTGACTTCGTGCCCACCTCCGAAGAGGCTGCAGCTTTGGCGCTGGTTCGCTTGTCCAGGGAACATCCAGAAGCAACGCTGGTCTGCCTGGGACCGCTTACCAACGTGGCTATAGCACTGAAGATAGATCCAAAATTCACCTTTGCCGAAGTATTCATCATGGGAGGAAACTACCAGGGTAATATATCTTGTGTTTATTACTGCATAGGATGGCTCAGAAACATAAATAAGCTCAGTGTCAATTGGTATAACTTAGTCATGAATTTGATTTCGGTCAAAACTCACTCTGGACCTTACAGGAATTGGCAATGTGGCATCCAATTCATCATCAGAATTTAATTTTCATGGTGACCCAGAAGCTGCGTCGATAGTTCTAAGCAAGTTGGCGGAAAAGATTGTAATGATTCCATGGGAGGCTTTCTTCATTGAAGGTGTCAAAGTAGGTATCTTCTAGTGAGCAAGATATGGAATAGTTTTCCTTTTTGTTGCAGCATGAAAAGCAAGTAGACTTCGATGCACATTTGCGATATGATACAAATCTGGCGTCATTTCTGATTACAGCCACAAGTAAAGGTTGTCAAAGTTTTCGTAACTTGGCAATTTTTAGTTTTTAGATTCTTTCAGTTCGAGCTGCAACAATGGAGAATAATAATCGCCAGAATTCGTATTGCGACGAGATTGCTGTTGCTGCTGCCATAGACATGAATCGAGTGGCTCGCAAGTTGATGCACCTTAGAATAGACGTGGAACTTTCTGGAGTCCATACTAGGTTGAGTGTAACACTGTACCTTATAATTTCCAGGTTCCGTAATCATGTAGTCTGGTCAGTGTCGAATATCGTTGTGCAGAACAGGGTGTTAGGTGGACATTCGTTAATGCTCTTCGGCCTTACGCTTCGGCGCTTCAGCACTTGCATAAAACAGCATTTGACACATAAAAGGCGCAAAACTGGCTTCGCCGTTTGATAGACATGGCATGAATGCATAGTGGAGACGACTTTGATATCAAAGTCACAATTTTACCGCTTTGTTAGATGTCCGTACTGGATGTAAAATGTTTGCGATCACAATCTTGATATAAAGAGATCCCGGTCAGGAAGCTTTGAAATCGTTTTTGGTTTCTACGAAGAACCCAGAAATGAATAACAAAACAAGTGCTTATTCGAAACCGATGATGAGCTATAACCGCTTATGTGACATCCGACTTAGTATATATCAACATCCACATCCGGTATGAACAGCTAACGAAGCAGTGGTTCCATGGTATGTT